CCGGCAAATCGTTTTGAGGAACTGATTTTTGAAAAGAAGTGCCAAACATGGACTGCTTTGCCAGATACAGAGTCGCCACCTAAATATTTTATTTTTGGGAGAACTTAGGAAACCCTGACTCGGTGCCAAAGGCCACGTGTCCGTCATCACCAAAGTTGCCTCGGCTCGGGAACTTGGGTACGATTGGGGAAGGTCAACTATGAGCACCCCCTCTCGCCCGATCCGAAGATCGGCCTCTACTAACCATGATATCCATTTTTGAAAACTTTATGTGTTCTTACCCCAGTTTTTAGCCTAGAATTACTATGTTATGCGCACAACAAACAAGTATAGACTAGATTGCCTAATTTGGAAATAAGCATTGCATATCCGTTTGTTTTGAAAAACACTTTGGAATTTGCTACTCGCAAGTAGGCTAAAATACGGATTTCAACGAGTTTTTCCAACTCGGACAATCCAACCTTCACCCACAGGCGTTCAAACAGTTTATCACATAAGCATCTAGCCACATGGTAAGCATGCTGTCATGATAGCATTCACACGCGTGCAAGGTTGCTAAAGCATGAATACTTACGTCGTACTCTGTGCTAAAACAAAGAACTCGTTAGCAATCAATGCATGATCCAAGTCCATGTTTGAATGTCTAATGCAACGCATACGGAATGTCACTAGAGTAGGCTCGGCTAGTCTATGAATGACATGTGAAAATGCATAAGTAGCATGTATTCAAGTTAGATTTGAAATACTAATGTAGTTAGACTGATGCGCCGAGCCCGGTGCATGCAAGATTGATGAATGATGCACGCATGCATAGCACAAGGTATGCTAAATTAAACATGACCTATTACTAACCATCAAAGTAGGTAAGTAAAAGGGAGAAAGAAGTGGGGGTTGGAAGACATGCACACACTTACCCACACTTATTACAAATTCGCCCTCGCTCGGAGGAACCGGAAGAATGATACAAATTAACTAACTCGCAAGCTAATTAATTATTACAAGTTACCTAATTAATTAACAAATTAACTAAGCATAAGGAAAGTAATAAAAAGGGGGGAGCTCGGGACGAGGGTTCGATGCGCGCGTGCTCGGGTCTTGCTCGGAAGTGCACTGCCATGCATAGGCCGCCTCTGTTTTCCCTTCTCTGCCTCTTTGAAGACTGCCAAAGTCTCAGAATTACTTCCCTAGACATTGGGAGACACCACCGGCTGAGTAGAATAGCCACCGGCAGTGGTATGTGATCATCGGCTATTGGTGAAGCTATCGGCCACCAATGGATTGCCGGTCGGCACTAAACTGTGCCGGTCGGAATAGAATGTCTGCAGAACCTGCAATTGACAGCAGCAGAGGGCAAGGCATAGCATGGCAATGCAATTCAGGCAATGTATGCACCAATCCTATCGCTCATCATGTGTATGACTCAAAGGGACATGGTCCTTGGTTCTCGGACCATCAAGCGCGCATTTCAATGCATGATGGCCCAAAGAATCAAGTGAGCATTTTTGATATGGAATGCAATGCACATGAACAAACCAATGGGACTCAACCTCTATCACAAGCATTTCAAGAGGCCAAGCATGCATGCAAATGGAATGCAATCCTAGGCATGTGAGCTAAGGATGCGACATGGCGATGCAATGCATTCATTCAATTATGCAAGCAAATATGCGAGGCAAACATGCAGACAAGCAAAGGGTGGACTTAAGCATGGTTTAGACAGCCCTCACTAAGCCCAAAAACAGTGGCCAAAGTGCCCAAAATGAAGGACTAATGGCATGCAAACATGCATGCAAATGATCTCCAACACTTCATGCATTAAAGAGCAATTCTCAAGCACACTTAAGAGGATGCAAACATGGACATATAGCATGCAAATTAAGCTCTGAAAATCATGTTAAAAAATGGTGCCATACCAATTAAACAAGGACAAGCCAAGCATGCGACATGGTCCAAAACTTAAGGCTAACAAGCCAAAATGCAAAGGGGCTATACAATGCATGCCAAAGTCGACCCAAACAACTAAGGACAGACCTCTAGTGTGGCAATATAAGCACAAAAGCTTCACAAAGCTAGACCTAAAACATGCTAGAACAAGGGTTTACAACCTAAGGCATGTTAAGGCAACAAAATGGCATTACAAGGCATGTATGCTAAGCACGAAAATCCTCCACAGATTGAAAGGCGGGAGACACTATAAGGTGGGGATTATGAAGAAAAGAATAGGAATAAAGCAGCTTCATAGCATACACAAGGGTACAAGTAATTATAAGATTTTCAGCAATAATTGGGTCAAAATCTTTACATACAGAGAGTTTGTCAATGTTCATCTTGTCTATCATCTTTGTAATATGATTCAATTTACTCAATTCCAACAACAATATGCTATAAGGTATTTCACATATCACTAGGAGTTCGAAAATACTGCAGTGACGATCCACATTAGTAAGGTAGCCAGGTCAATCAACCTGCTGGATCCAACACAAACACCAGTCAGACCCATGTTGGGTAGCTAGTCACACAAAATCAGCCTGCAGGACCAAACAAAACCGACTAGTGATTATAGCAAATCATCTAGTGATTATACATACCTAAGGAAGATTAAAAAAACACAAAAACAAAAACAAAAAACTGGAAAAAGGAATCAACTGATCACCTTATACTCCAGATGCAGCTGCTTTCTCACTTCAAAATATCCTAGAACAAAAGATACTCAAATGGCCAGTGGTACTTTGGATTTAGTATGTGAAGGTCCACAGAATCTATCTATAAAATGTCATTAGCAAATGTAGTCCATCAATTATATTGCACAAAGGATCCATTAGATGAGATGTAAAGTGAAAAATTATCATGAAAGAAAGATGTGGATTAAATAAATAATAATTTCCACCAAAATTAAAGTGACATATTATTGGAATAAATCAAAAGATATACTTAGTGTCCCACCAAAATAACAACTCACATTATATCACTGTAGTGGATGAAAAAGAAAACAACAAGTGTCCCGCAAAAATAATGACTTATGTTACTACAACGATATGAATTACATACAGCCACACAACGATATGCTTGTCATTATAATAACTAGAAAACCATGCATGATCTACTCTTATGTTGTAGTTATGCACAGTTAGGTTTGTGTCATGCTCCACTACATAAATGATTGGGCATCAAATACAATCACTAATCAAAAGCATCAATTTTTACTAACGAAGAAAAAATAGAGGTGGAGAGGACTTCTACTGATAGATGTCAAGTTCAACTACATTTATGATTGCCCAACTAACATCGATTCGAGATCTAATGTCTCTAAAATTTTGCCATCTAGATGGCAAAATTTTAGAGACATTAGATCTCGAATCGATGTTAGTTGGGCAATCATAAATGTAGTTGAACTTGACATCTATCAGTAGAAGTCCTCTCCACCTCTATTTTTTCTTCGTTAGTAAAAATTGATGCTTTTGATTAGTGATTGTATTTGATGCCCAATCATTTATGTAGTGGAGCATGACACAAACCTAACTGTGCATAACTACAACATAAGAGTAGATCATGCATGGTTTTCTAGTTATTATAATGACAAGCATCATTATGATTGTGTGGCTGTGTGTAATTCATATCGTTGTGTGGCTGTATGTAATTCATATCGTTGTAGTAACATAAGTCATTATTTTTGCGGGACACTTGTTGTTTTCTTTTTCATCCACTACAGTGATATAATGTGAGTTGTTATTTTGGTGGGACACTAAGTATATCTTTTGATTTATTCCAATAATATGTCACTTTAATTTTGGTGGAAATTATTATTTATTTAATCCACATCTTTCTTTCATGATAATTTTTCACTTTACATCTCATCTAATGGATCCTTTGTGCAATATAATTGATGGACTACATTTGCTAATGACATTTTATAGATAGATTCTGCGGACCTTCACATCCTGGAAGTGCTCAAGGTGAGCTGGAAATTACTAATTTGGATTAAGAATTGTGGTGAGTTGATGTACTGGAAGTGCTAGATATTTTCTGCTGCTGCTGCTATTTTGTTTTTTTTTTTTTTGGGGGGGGGGGGGCAATTGGGATCTGGATGTTATTTATTTTCAGTTGGACAACGTTTCTTTTCTGTTCCTTTTAACCCACAATCAAAACAATGTGTAATGAGGTTGGCCAGTTCTTTTATCAAGTAGTGAAATATGAAATTGTTCCCCGTACAATAGTTTTTTCAATGCTGATAATCTAAGTATTAAGATATAATTTTTTACAAGCATGCGCAGTTAACATAGACTTTGTAAGACCATATTTTAAATTTGCATACACTTGATAAACACACACTAATCAATATTATATGATAAATTTATTTTTATTAAACTTTATGTTTGGGTGGTTTCAGGGGCTGGACAATATAACTGCTTGAAGTCTCGTGCACAAAATAGAAAAGCAATATGAATGCTAGGTGTACACACACTAATCAATTATTCTAGTGTCTATTCTATCTATCTAGGTAATTATTCTACTGTCCTTTTCTTTCCTTATCTTTCTTCCTTCCCCAAAACCCCTCTCCAGGTGTGTGGGAGAGAAGAAATAAAATTTACTTTTTGGAAGCTAAAATCTTGTTAAAACAGGTGTTTAATTGTGTTTTTTGCTTGTATTTCACAGGTTGACTCTAAGCAACAAATGAGTTAGCATTGGTTTATTTAATGTTAAATGCCCTAGAATCCTAGTACCATCATGTTTATTCCTCCTATTTTTTTAATTTATTTTTAAAATTTTTAATTTTTTAATACTAGAACTTAGAGATAGCATGGATAAAGAAAACTAAATTGTTTTTTAAGGTTGTTGGCTGGATTCATACTCCACTTGTTGCATTGGATATATATATCAGGTATCATGTTATTACAATTACTGAGTACTTAAGGTTGGGTATTGGGTTTTTGGTGTTTAGGAATAACAGTTTTCACTAATCATATTTGGTACTCCACAGTTGTGTACTCCTAGGTTAATGTCTGAATTTAGCCTGACTAGTTTTACCAAAATTGCAGGCCTTGCTTGGAGTTCCCGAGAGCCATGGATTTTTGCATCATTATCCTATGATGGGAGGGTAAGTGCAATTTTTTATTGTATAATGGATTAGAAACATGGGACAGGATTTAAAATTCTAGCTTTTGGTTATTGTTCTTTGTCATTCACAGAAGGATAGAAAATTATTGTTCTTACTTTATGTGCCTAAGGCTGTGTAAAGGCCGGTATAAATTGGTAATTGTCTGATTGATGCTACACAACCTGATAATTACTGTGACATGCTTCAATGTGGGTTGCTTTCACAGTAACAGAGTACCTTGGATGTTCAGAGTTTATGCTATCTTTTGCAAGGAAGCAAAAGTAACTGTTAGTTCATCCAGTATATGTGATTTGTCATCTAAGCTCTAGTTTGAGTGGAAATAGTTTCCAGATTATACGCTACACAATACTCTTAGGCCATGTTTGTTTGGGCGGACTGGATTAGCATTCCATGACTAATAGTCCTAGAACTATGAATCTGTTGGATTATGTATTCTATCTTAACTAAAATCAAGTTTAAAATAATTAGTCCCTACTTCAATTGTTTAACCAAACATCGGATTAATAATTTTATTGGACTATTAGTCCAATCCCAAGCTCATGTCCACCCAAACAAACATGGCCTTAATTCTTATCTGAGATGGCATAATTTGTATGGTCTTTACTGTATTATGTTCCTCGTTAAAATGGATAGTCATATAAAGGAGAGTGAGTTTTCTGATTGGTTGACTATTCTGTCTTGGGCATCATATAGACAACAGACAAAAACATTATGGTGATTTATCTTTGTAATTAGTTGCAAAACATGCATATAACTTGGAACTTATCCAACCCAATCAAAACTAGGGAACATGAAGAAGAAATAGGAACTATTGTGAACTAAATGTGAGCCTCTTCATGTTTTTCAGTACTGCTTAGAGTTTAAAGTTTGATTTTATTTACGTGTGTATAAATCATTTTTATTTTTGAAAATGCTTGCTCTGTAAAACAGGTGGTCGTGGAATCAATAAAGCCCCATCTTTCCAAAAAATGAAGTCAGATCATTTACTTGATGTGAGTTCTTAAACCCTTGTTGTCCTCGCAATTTTTTTTATCATGTTTGCATACTCACTTCTTCAGTTTAACTGCAGAGTATTTTTTCCCCCTTCACAAGCTTATTACTCGGAATACCTTCTACCCTCATATGAAATATTCTCATTCTCTATTGAGGGTTTTCATAATGTTTCGGGATGTAGTTGAGGCTCATGTGCCATTTAGGCATGGTACATTGACTTGTGCATGGACGACCTTGAATATTGTATTCAAATATGAGCATGTGGTGCTTGTACCTTTGTATAGAGGGAAATTAAGTATTGGGATTGTTTGGTCTTCAGACCACACATTGCTAAAGGAGACCAATTATATTTGAGTGATTCTTTCATTTTAATGATTTTGAGTTTGGAAAGAAAAAGCGTCATTGATCTGCATTTGACCAAATCACCAAGTTGAACATGAATGTCTTTTCCATATTCATAAATGGACGAATTAATTAATGGTTTTTGTAGTTTAGGACTTGTGTTATTTTAGTTCTTGATTTTTTTTAATTGTAATATATTTGATTTTGAATTTTGAATTTTGAATCTCGTTTCAAATAAGAATAATTTAAGACATTATTGTTTCCTTTCAAGAGCAAAATTATTAACTTGATAAAAAATAAATTAGTTTAAAAAAAAAATTAAAAATTATTTCTACTCATCAAATATAAAATTATATAAAAATGATAAATCTTTTTTATTTTTACTTTTTTACCAAATTAATTTTTAGTAGTTTGCGTTTGAATGTTGATCATATAATGAGTGGTTTTTGTTGATATTTTTGGATTTTTATTATGTAAGACCATCTCCAACGGTTCATCAAACTTGATATCAAATTCAAAATTTGATGAAAAAGCTACTTTTTTGAGCTCCAATGGTTTCATCAAATCGATATCAAATCCAGAATTCAGCAAATTTGGTATCAAAATGAGAACAGGCGAAGCATTTTACGAAATCACTGTTCCTAATCGTTGGGAGAGACCAACCGGTCAACCAGCCGATTGCCCGGCCGGTTGACCAACCGGTCGACCGTCTAAAGGTTCAAACGGTTCGAAGAAAAGGTTCAAACAGTAAAAAAAAAAAAAAAAAAAATTTTCCAAAACGACGTCGTTTTTGGAGATTAAGGAGATTAGGAGGGACTTTTTTAGGGTTCCAAATCATTTTCCATACATTTTGGGAACGTTTGATTGAATTTTAAAATTATAATTTGAGAATAAAATTATATTTTGAATTTATGAGTTTTGAAATTATGATTTAAGTATGAAAAATTTGTTTAGTTATGAATTTTAAAAAGAGTTTTGAATTGAGTTTAAAATTTTTAATATGACATATGATATTTGATTTAAAAATTTACAACTCATAACTAAACACACAATCCAAAATTTTATTCAAAACTCATAAAAAATTTTAAAAGTTTCAAAAATATTTTTTATTTAAAACATAAAAATTACATGTGCAAAAAAAAAAAAAAAAAAAGAACACTATTCCGATCAACCGACCGGACGTCCAAGAGGATGATCGGGTAGACGTGTTTTGAAAAGTAGGTGTGGAATCAATTTTTGAAAATTGTAAACAAACAGAGCAGTTAAATCATGTTGTAGAATCATATTTGGAAAGCTCCACCAAACACAGGAGTTTTTCTTCTTCTAGAACAAATCTTACATTATGAATAAAAACGTAATAATTTAATAATGTAACACTTCAATGTAGCACACTAAAAAATTTCTTGGTGTACTTTTCTCAAATGTAACAACATAACATTAAAAAAAATTCCTTAATGTACTTTTCTCAAATGTGGCACTCCAATATAACACAAACGTAACACTCTAATTAACGTAAGCCCAAACGTAACATTCCAATGTAACATGCTTCAATGTAACAAAACAACCGAACAAAAATCTGAGCATAGAAATTGTGTATACGATCGTCCAACCAGACGATCGTTTGAACGACCGGTCAGAACTTGTTAACCGTAACTATAGCTTGCTTTTCGTGTTCCTTCAGATATGATAGCCCTACAGTTCAAACTCCTGTGATTCTGAATCTGATTTCACAAGTACAATGTGAAATAAATAAACACAAATGAGTCCAAATTCGGTAAATTTTTTGAAAAATCGATTTTGAATCAAAAATGTCAAAAATAGACTACTTTGCCAGATTTTAGAGTCGTCATCTAAATATTTTTGAGAAATTTAGGAAACTCGAGATTCGTGCCAAATGCCACTTTATCCGTCCTCACCAAAGTGTCTCAGCTCGGGAACTTAAGTACGAGAGGGGAATGTCATGAATTGAGCACCCCACTCGCCCGATCAAAATTCGGCATCTACTAAGCATGATGTGATTCTTATTTGGGGTACTTACGTATAGGTCCAAATAAGTGGACTTATTGTTGAATAGGTCCTAGGAAAAAAAATTGCCATAAAAAAAGTCACTAATTGTAAGTTTTAGCGACAATTTATAAAAATTATGACAAAAAAAAGTCACTAATTGTCAATTTCTAGCGACATATATAAAAAATTGTCACAAAAAAAATTTTTTAGCGACAATTTTACCAAAACTTATTTTTAATAGAACTTGATGGGAATTAAGTCAAACTATTACGACCTATTGGTAGTTTACCGTTCTTATTTTGCATTATATGCTCTTGTTTCAATTATTAGGCTAATTTTACTATATGTTGCACACAAGTATAGACTAATTTGTAAAATTTAGAACACTTTGATTTTATGTTTATTTTGAAAGAGTTTGAATATGTGCTACTTGAAAAAGTGTACTCATATGTACATTAATCAAATCATCCCAATTTAAGTAATTAGCCTTCATCCATAAGCATTCAAACAAGTATATCACTTAAGCACTTAGCCTCATGATAATATGCTTGATATGGCAACAATTACACATATGCAATATGCTCAAGAGAAAATGCTCACCTAGTATTCAATCGAGGCAAACCAAAAAGAAATAAAATAGTTAAAAGAAATGCATAATCCTAACAATGTAAAATGTCTATGCAACATATACAAATGCGACTGTCGGATTCGGCTTCCTAATATGGCATGTGAGTCAATTCAAGGCATGCGTAAAGCACATATTCGAGTAAGGATTGAAATTGACATTTATTAGTATAATGAGCCGAAACCTTATGCATGTAAAATGAATGGATGCAAGTTATGGAAAATGCTAATTAAAACATAATGCTCTATTCTATCCATCATACGTGAATAAATAAAAGGAAGAAAGAAATGGGGGTTAGAAGACATACACACATTATTACAATTTTGCCCTCATACAAGAGAGTCTGAATAAGTGTCCTACTTTACACTAATTATACAACACCGAAATAACTAGTTACACTGACTAATTATTACAAATTAGATTTAAACTAACTAATTAATTACAACACAGAATTATTTAACTAAGTAATTAACTATTACAAGTTCAAAAAGAATTAACTAATCAATTAACTAAGCTAGCTAATTAAAATCCAGCGGGGGTCAAGGAATCAAACGTGCTAATGCGAACATCCTCCCAAAAATGCCTTTGTTTTGCTGCCAGAATTGTTCTGTCTGCAGAAAATACTTCTATTTGTGCCTCAACTTCTGCTATGTTTTGTAGGAAAATGACAATGCCTGGCTGAAAAGAGGTGGTTGGCCGGCCAAGGAAAGTGGTCGGCCGAATTCAAATGGTGGCCGGTCGGCCACTAATTTTGATACTACCTTGCTGCATCAGAAAAGAAATAAAGCAAAAATAGAGTGTTTTCAGGGGATGTTTGTCCACCCTACCTCTCCTTATCATCAAACTGATCAAGGGAGCGATAGAATCGGTTCACAAATCATCAATGGTCACAAGGTTATTGGATGATAATGCATGACTTGATTGGACAAAGGCTCAATAAGTGAAAAATAAAGACCAATAAAACCTCCTCCTATCATGGAATTGATCAAGGGAAGTGGTTAACATTGATTCTTGAGTCATTATCATCACTAAAAGTATGAAATGACTCAAGACTCAATGGGTTCAATTAACGTCCAATTGAACCCAATTTGATTTTATTATCTTGTATCATTTTAGTCCAATTTTATTGCCTCTTTTCAATACCTTTCCAGTATTTAGTCATTTTATTCCAAAAGTGAGAATTAAGTCCACTAATGAAGAGAATTGTCAAACAAGAAGTTCTTGATGTTTAACGAATATTTTAGACATTCCAGCAACTTCCAGTGATGTTCAAAACACTCTAACGATATTCTAATGAACTTTTAGCGATAGTCCAGCGACTTCCTAGTGATGTTGAACATTCCGGCGAGGCTCCAGTGATCGTTTGACGAAAGTCCGATAGTGATGGAATGTAGCAGCGCTTTTAAATTTATTAAAAAAAATATGATTTTTTGGTAACAATTAAAAATATGTAAGACTAATTTGTACAAGTGTTTTGTTTTGGGATTAAATAAATTTTGAATTTTGTGTATGTGATTTAATAGTAAATGGCCCAAAATAGAATATGTTTTAATTTTTTTTATGGGCCCAAAATATTATCATGGTCGACCCACTTTTCTATGTAAGTTGCCTATTTATAAATAGGGAAATCAGGTCATAGGTCTATTTTTTTAATCTTTTGAGTCATTAGAAAGCCATGAAGAAGCTCATTCTACTGAATGAGCGCTCCGGCAATCCAAGACTGGGGAGTACCACAAAGTTCAGTGGCAATGCGATCAAAATCAACACCACTCTGAGTAAGGAAAGGAAAATGAAAATTTCAGACTTTCGGAAGACCAAAAATGTAATAACCCTCACCCCTGTTTACCGATAAAATACTGATTACTGCTAAACTGAGACTGATTACAATAAGTAATTGAATCAACTAAAATACTGAACAGACAGACTGAAATCTGAAACTGATTGATTGACTGTATCTGTTTAAATGCATTATGTATCTGTTGCCTGTTTGATTACCTGTTCACATTCTATGTTTTAAATTGCTAATTGAAGGCCTTATCGGCGGCCGAATCTGAAATTGACTAGTGTCTTAAGATCAGTAGAATTAATGTGATTTTATGGTATATTTATCTAAAATTGATTTAGTACAATTAAAATAGATTAAAATAAGCTAATTACATAATTTGACTAAATTACCTTAGTGCAATCTAGTGGGCCACTTATTTGACACTTTAGAGGCTCATTCTTAGGCATTACAAAACATTTGTTCAGCCCTTTTGATGTTCATAACCGATCAAGAGAGGAGAGTGAAAGGTTTGGAGTGAATTCAACTTGACTTTGTGCATTGGCTTGAAGAATTGGAATATAGGTTGCAAATTAAGCTTCCTCACCTTGTATTTGAGGACCTAGGTAAGGAATTTACCCTCTTAATTGTGTCTTTAAATTGATTCTTGCATGGTTCTTGCCGAATTGAAGAGCTAAGTCGTGAATTAGTTCTAGCATATTAAGTTGTAGCTCTAATCTTGCATGC